ACTTCAATACCAACTAACGAGGACACACCGAACTGCGGACTAATTACTAATCCTGAATCACGCAATTCAATTTCTCGCACACACATCGCCCGTTTCTCCACACTTTATTCTATACTAGCTGACCCGCGCAACTTCGTCTGCGTCTCTCAATAGTAATAAATTTACTCCGTTTTTGAAACATTCTTCATTAGTGCTCCGCTCCTATTGGTCTTAGCGTGATGATATATAGCCTATAGCCTTCCTCGATAAATGGGCTATCTAACACTGAAAGAATTTTTCAAATCGGACCAGTAGTTCCTGAGATTAGCGCGTTCAAACAAAAAAACAAACTCTTCAGCTTTATAATATTAGTATAGATTATATTCTTACTACCTTACATTTTTGTGTTACAACTAACAATCGTCCCTCAAAGGCTGTAAGAAGATGCCAGGCTATATGTAACACGTTGCAGATAAGAGAATATAATTGGATATAAACTCATAAAGACATCTGTCTAGTCTGGCCGGGGCAGACGGGTCACGACCCCCTGCGTCTTGCGACAAGGCCGCTTATTGGATTTCGTGCTACGGCAGGATACGTATTTACTGATACCAGTTATGATTTTATGACGTATGTCGTGAACCAGCAGACAGCTTATCTGATGTAAGGTGATTACCTTGCACGGACACCTGTAGCTGAACAAAACTATACCATAAAAAACTATAAAAATCTTTACATCTATACAAATAAATAAAATTGGAGTGTCTGTTTGTAATATTAAAATAACCGCTTTTTACTAAATGCATATGTATGTTTACACGGTACATATGCCAAAATAACATTTTTTTCAATTTTTGTCTGTCTGTCTGTCTGTTTGTTCCGGGTAATCTCTGGAACGGCTGGACCGATTTCGACGGGACTTTCACTGGCAGATAGTTGATGTCATAAGGAGTAACTTAGGCTACTTTTTTTAGACTAGCTTCGCCCCGCGACGTTGCCCGCGGTTATAACAACAAACGCGGGTCACACCGCGGGTCTCAGCTAGTGGTATATAAAATGAAGTCGCTTCCCGTTCTTGTACACTTAGATCTTTCAAACCACGCAACGGATTTTAATATGGTTTTATCAATAGAGAGAGTGATTAGAGAGGAAGTTTTATTTGTTTAATACATTGCAACCGTGCGAAGCCGGGGCGGGTCGCTAGTATGGTATATAAACCGTGCCATATAAAAATAGCTTTATCATTGTTTTAAATCAATTTCCTGATAAAATTTATTTATTTATTTAACTTTTGTACATCGGCGGACTTAATGCCCAGGGCATTCTCGTCCAGTCAACCTTTGGGTGGTGTAGAAATCTTGTAAGGTAGGTGCACAGAGGTTACGTCTTAATATATTAAGTAATAAGTATATAATAATAAGTAATAAAATAATATTTCTTCTTTGAGCTGCAGGCTCCCAAATGACCTTTATCTATAGGCCCTCGATAGATGCAATAAAAGGTATTTTTATCCTTCTGGTGTAGTACTTCTTCCGTATGAAAGATATCCAATGCCCTTTATGTTGTCCAGGAGTACTAGGCTTTTACTTACCACTTAACAAAGTGGTAAGTAAAAGCCTAGTACTAGTACACAAAGTTAACAAAACAAAACAAACGGCACTAAAAACAGCTCAAAGCTGTATAACGGATTTACGGTGCATTATAATGGTATAAGTTTATATTATTAAACAGCAGTAAGCATTTACTTACTACTTAAAAATGTTATTGTAGATCGAAGTCAACAGAGAGACAGAGAACTAAGGTCATCCACAGAGCCCACCGGATTAACAAGCTAAAGTGGCAGTTGGCTGGCCATATTAGCCGCTGACAACCGTTGGGGTAAACGAGTCCTTGAGTGGAGACCGCGTCTACGCAAACGTAGTGCAGGACGCCCACAGGCCAGGTGGAGTGATGATATGCGCAAGATGGCTGGCAGGAGTTGGATGCGAGAAGCCCAAAATCTATCGAAGTGGCGTGCAATAGGGACGGCATATGTCTAGCAGTGGACTGCGATACGCTAATGATGATGTATCCTAATTCGCTTAAATCAGTTGAAACCTGTACAGCTGCGTTGTGGTTTGCGGCACCAAAACTGAAGGCTTAACTGATATGCCATTTTCCAACCGTTATCTAGTGTAAACCATAATGTGGTTTATTAATGCAAATGTAAAGCGTTGTAAGAGTTTGTATGGAATTTAAGATATACACGAGTTTACTATTCGTTTGTTAAAATGCTGTGTTACTTAGGTAAAGCGTGTCATCATCATCAACACCCTTTAATAGGCTGCTGGACATAATCCTCTCCTTAAAAAAGAGGTTTTGGCTTATTATACCACGCTGGTCAGACGGGTTGGTATAGGGTTTGTGTCAAGTTTTCCTTCTCTTTGCCGTGTTGTTGTCCTACAGAGTTTTTCTCCCTTAGTAGGCTCTTACGACACCCACGGGATGAATAGGGGTGGTGACAATCCGTATTCTTAATCCTTCACCACACAGACAATTGAATTGACTGACTGCACGGATGGCGTAGTGGTTTAAGCGGTCACCACGCCGCTTCCTACTACGCCGAGTGTTGTGGGTTCAAACCCCACATGGGACGACACTTTGTGTGATCCACAAATTGTTGTTCTGAGTCTGGGTGTTCTTTGTGTCCGTTTCATGTATGTTTGTAAAGTCCCCCGCGACACAGGATTTATTCCTAATGCGGGAGTTGTCTTTTTAAAAAAAGAAAGAAAAAGAAAAAAGAATTAGTTTCACATATGCACATCGTATGTCTCCGTTATAACAAAAATAACGAAGTGATAAAGTGTGTGTAAAAAACGTGTCCTTATGCTTAATGACATAACAATCCGACCGGTTGAGTAGTTTAGATGAGAAAGTGTAACAAACAAACATATATTCGTACATACAATAATAAGTGAGTGTAGCATTCAACACAACTTCTTGTATAACCATCAATTAGCAGCTCACCGACATGTCCGATATACATCAAACATGTTCCGTAATGCTAACATTGAAGTAACGCGGCGAGAGCGTAAGGCTGCGCGGGCGCATCCAATCAATCACATTGCGTTTGTATCGATTTTTGCTCGAATTCAAAATCACGTTTATTTCTATTTTAAATGACTTTATTGTACAAAAGAATTAATATGATTTTCTATTCTATTGTGTACTTAAAATTCACTTTAACTAAAAATTACTAAAATTACCAACTTTTTACTTCTGACGTGACCATGGGCCAAGATAGTCGCTTACCATCAGGTCTTACCCTCTGCACGTTTGTTTCACGCTAATTTAAGGAAACCCTAAACAAGGATTGTGCTATGTGTTGAAAAAACCCCTATGTACTATTTAGTTAGATATTATTTTTAATCGTGGCACTCTGGATTTTGCGAGGTATTGACCAAGAAGTCGTGCACGACTGATGAGCTGTGAAAGGCCCAGCGCAGTACAATACAGTTATATTGATATTGTTGTACGTATCAAGTAATATACGATCTATAATGCAATTAAATCCTCACGAAGAAATAGAATGACATTGCATTTGATGCATATTATTTCGTCATGATCGTAGTATACCCTTTTTTTCCGGGCGGAAATCCCCTCGGATACCACCTGTCGGTGGCATGTCGGACTCGAACCGACTAAAACCGTCTCGGGTTCTAATAGCCGGGGAACCAGGTATACCCTAGAAAGGAAGTCCCTGGTGCACATCGTAGTATACCTATCGGTTTTGAAAAAAATACGAAATTCAGTTACAGTTACTACATTATCTAAATATTATTACTACATTCAAGAAAAAATTATATGTATTTTAGATTTTAAATTATTCAGTGTTTGTTTGATAGGCGCTCAAAGTAAAATGAAGCATGTAATTTTTATAGAAAACTGTATAATTATTAGTTGTTATTTTTATTGTATTTTACAAACAAACCTTATTTTTGACTTGTATGCCAATTTTCATAATTACAGAGTTAAAATTAGTTATGTCAAAAAAATAACCTAATTATTTGAAATGGCTGCCCTGTAAAAGTTCATTAAATGCCAGTTCCGACACTATTCTACGAATATGAAGATTTATAGTAATTATGAAGTAATTATAATGATTTCCCTTTTTTAACCGACTTCAAAAAGGAGGAGGTTCTCAATTCGATTGGTATTTTTTTTATGTATGTACACCGTTTACTCTGAGATTTATGATCCGATTTACGTGATTCTTCTTTAGTTTGATGCGGAATAGTTGCCATTTGGTCCCATAAAAATTTAACATAGTTAGGCCCAGTAGTTTTCATTTTATGAACATTTTTAATGAATATTATTGTTTACTTGGATGATATAATTTTAGTTTGTGCACGGCCTTTTTAGGAGTTTTCATTTAAGTAGATTATATATTATTTAATGTCGCGTCGGCTTAAAATGCGTATTGTTGTTGACGTCTATTGTCGAACGTAGATTTGAACAAAGCCTAACTGTTATAACCTCAATAATAATGTTTATATCATTACGACCATAAACTACATCTGTTAAAATAGAAAGTACAGGTGTAGGCGTACAAGGGTTATGAATAATTTAATGTATTACGGTAGGAATGAACCTGCCCTCTGGGAAATTACTGGCAACCATTACGTTACACCAGCTTTCGTCTGCAGTTTAGCTGACCTTGATTTAAATTTTTCAAATAATAATAACCTGACACATCCCACACGCGGCCGTCTGATCCCAAACTAGGCAGAGCCTGTACTGCGGTAACAGCTGATTAACATACTTCTAAATACATACATACTATAGATAAATTACACCCAGAAACAAATGATCATCACGAGCCATTTGCCGGATATTTTATTCCATAAGGGGTATAATTCCATACTTAATCGGAACATGTCTCCTTTAAATCCAATAAAAATATCACAACTCTTTCCTAAAATATGTGTTTTTATTTTAAACCCTTTATTTTGTTCAACAGTGGGAAACGCGTGGAAAGTTACCTGAGCGCTAGCACTTCCACGTTGGGCATCCGTCGCAGCAGGCTCACGTCGCCGAGTTCAGCACCCCTGTGGACAAACAGAAATAACATTAAAAACCCTTATTTAAGACTTTTATCTTTCCCTCTCTAGCTAAGACAGAAAGTGGAATTCTAACTCCTCTGGCATTCTTCTGACCATATTCGTCTGACACTCATTATAAGGTAGATAGCCCTGTTGTACGGGAATCAATACATTTTTATGTTCCCGACCAATATATGCGTGCCGTTGGAAGCCGACAACATAGACTCCCATGCTGCGCGCCTACGTGGCGCTCTCCCCAGGCTGACCATAGCCCCACTGCTATAGCAATTAGGCTTATCAATGAGTTTCTTCAGTATAGTCGAGATGCAGATATATTTTTTGACTCCCAAAGCATAATTTTAAAACATATTTATACTTATCTAAATTTTAAAGAGTGATTTTATAGTAGTATGTTGTTTCTTTTTGATGGTCTGAGTTTTACAATTGTAATAGTATGTAGATTATTTTTGATAAAAATTAGCAGATATAAGCGATTTGGTGTACACTGTGTTTATTAATAAAGAATTGAATTAAAAGGTCTAGTTGAAAACCAGCGCTTGACATTTGTCTAGCAGACGCTGAACCAGGTCCTATTCGACCGACACGTGAGGTACCTACAGGTAAAAAAATATTTTCGCTTAAGTCTAGTAAAGTTTCCCTTATATTGTGAGTGTATGTTCTTACGTCCACGAATTGTTTTTTTTTCTTTCTATAGTTATTTATTTAAAACTTAATGCACATGTTGTACAAAGGTGGACTGATGATGCGGTAGGTGCAAAAATGAAATATTAAATTTGACATAGTACAAGTCCAGAAGTATACACAATCATTCTGCTCGTCTGCCCCCCTCTAACATTAAAAGAAAAAAAAACAATACATACACATTTTATAAACATTGTCTAAATTCGGCGTTTAAACTTCTACGAGACTTATCAGGTATTGTGGTATCAGGTTATAAGGAGAGGCCTAGGTCCAGCAGTGGACTGTTAGGAGCTGTTGATGATTCCTTTCCTAGCCTTTCAACATACTGACAATATCCTCATCTAATTCCTGAAGTGACAGGTTGAAGACAATATCTTGCGACCTTTCTTTTTGTTTTTTCTGTGCGGAAATCCCTATTACGTAATTCGGACTAAAATAATAGTCTACAAAATGGCGGCGTTTAATACTTTTGATCAATAAAAAATAAAAATAAACACAGTGACTTTAACCAATCATTGCATCATATGATTATGCTTTAAAAGTAGCAATAATTTCTATAACTTCTTTCTATGCTTTCTATGCTTACACAGTACACGTTCAGAGCGGAACACTGAACAGAAAGGCATGTAGAACTTCGAGGAACGGGCAGTAACATATTTTCAAGAACTAAATAACTTTCAAACGAACTGTAGACCTAAATACACAAGTAATTAGGTAAATATTTCTAGAAATGCTTGCTACGTAAACAAAGCGTGATTAATACCTCCTTTCTTTAACCTTAAACGTGTTTAATGTGTGACAACTTGTACAAATTGAAGCGCCATTAATTTACTCGTATGTACATGATGGGTGGCGTTTAATGGTGGATATTTCTTTCCAAATACATGAGGGGTTATCTGATGATAAGTGTTTCGCCTTTTCTTCAATAGGAATCGGTTCATAAATGACAGAGATCTGAGATGGGATGAGAGATCACCGCGGGAGAGCCATGCTTCGGCACGACCGGAGTGATACCACGGCCTCACAGAAAACCGGTGTTAAGCAATTCTTTCGTTGCCTTTCACTGTGTGAGTGTTTCACTGTGCTGACTCGAGCGAGAGGGACTCCAAGGGCGGCAACGCACTTGTGACTTTGAGTTGCAGGTGTCCATGGGCGGTAGTTGCTTACCATCAGGTAACTCGTCTGCACGTATACCGTAAAAAAAAGAAGATAACAAACAAAACAATACAGTCGAATCTTGAATCTCTTATTTTGAAGTCTGTTAGAAATGAAACGTTATGGTGGTGAGCACTTGCCGCACTAAAGCTAATTAGTTAGTACAAATCACTTTGCACAACAGCATTTAAATATAATCATTAAATGCAATCTCTTCCTGAACGAGACTCGAACAATATATGATCCTATATATAAACAACATATATATACAATAGTTCACAATAAAAACATTATATGGGATGTGCTTACAATTATATACATATACAGAATATATAGGAGCAGGATAACTATTTATAAACAACTACAAAAGTGTGTCACTCTGCCGACTAAATAGAAAAACAATACTTGTAAAGCACTATTTTAAGAAATTTCTACAAAAATAGGTCATTTGAGACATGTGAAGATAATTCAAATACTGTAGAAACATACATTAATCTAGCGAAGGATAGCCAAACTACGTGCCTACTGATCCTACATCGCAGAATTAGAAAGCATAGAGAATCCTGGTCGGAGAATTCCTCTTTTGTGTAGGAGCGGGTATTACAGCGTTTCTCTACAAGACGTATCTCAAAGCCTTATGAAGACCGGTGGCCTGGGAATTTAAGGAAGAGAGGTCCAAAGTAAACCACATACTAATCACATACATACCTTGTGTACGGTTTCTACCTTAATTAGTATGAAAAGCCGCTGTAAGCGATAAGACCGCCGATTGTTACGTCTATATATTTGTAAGGAACTTATGTATTTACTGTATACAATAAAGATAAATAACATCCTAATATAGGGAAACTGTATTTTTATTCGTGGGATCGCCCATATTTCGCCACATAAGATCCTTACAGAAAACCGATTCTTAAACAATTGGCTTCCGTTGCCATTCACCGAGGCAGCGATGCACTTGAGTGCGAAAAAAAAATCAATGTGCAATGCAGAATAATATCTATTACGACTTGTTATAAACTCTTTGAAATAAAGGCAAATTTATACAAGCAATAAATAGCTACCAGACATTGACAACATCAAATTAAAAAAAAAACAGTTTCAGCACCGACGCCGAGCCTATTACGTCATCTGTAGTGAGCGTGACTTAGCAAATGACAACAAAAAATGGCGCTATTGAATAACATCTCACGACAATAATAATATCACAAAGTATAGACCTTACAAAGACAATTGGCTGTACGTGAACATTACAGTGAACACCATCTAACTATATACAGGCTGATTTAACTAAAGATGCAAGATTGTTATGAAGATTTATGTGATGAGAGAAACGTCAAAATAGAACGGTATCAAATTGCGTTACAAAGCTATTTATTGTAACGATGTGGCAAAATAGTACTTGACTTGATTGACTCTACGATTAGAATTTTGTTTTCGTTTTTCCAAATCCGGTCATGAAAAAAAAACGGCTCGCTCTGCTGGGACCAGCCGCTTTTATCAATGAAAAGCAATTACCACCTCTGTTTTTGAGTTTAGTTTTTAATTTGTTTATTTACACAATACAAATAAAAACAGTTAGCTTCATAATAAAAGTTACTTTTGGTTAAGTACATCAAAATTTGTTTGACACGCTATTCGTAAATGTGGCACTGAATTCGATAGAATTCAGTGCCACATTTCTTCTCCCACGCACAACATTTTTTTCACTTAAGTCAGCTAATACAATACTTTAAGATACTAAAAATAGTTTACTTACCGGTATAAAGGGTATAGGGCATTACTTATGTATTTGGGTGTTTAACAGTGCCTGATATCGACGCGGAAAGTAGCTATACCTCCTGATAAAGGTCTCGAATGAATATTCCAGAATGCTCACAATAAGTAAATAATTTACAAATTGTGGTGGGTTTTTTATTTCAAGATTAAATTAAATCAACAATAAAAAATATAAATTTGACTTCACTAAGACGACGACACGTCTAATTATTATTAAAAATTACGCTTTGACGTTTACCAAAAAACCGTAAAATAATTTGACTAACAGTCAAACACTGTTGGAGAGCACGCTGTATAAACACTTCGAGAAGACAATGCAAGGTCGTGTACTGAACAAATATCGTACACACACGTGGTGTGTAGCTGTGATTGGTATTCAATACGAGTACGCACACACGCTTAAAATGTTGAACACACTTATAATACACAACATTCTAAACAAAAATATTTGCTTCGCTTAGCTGTACATCATAAAGTATTATGAGAGATTACAGAGAGATACGACAGGCCTGTTGGTCTAGCAGTTAGTGGTCCAGAACTGTGCAACCAGAGGTCGTGTGTTCGATTGCCACAAAGGACAAATATTTGTGAAATAAACACGATCATTTGTTATGTGTCTGGGTGTAATCTTTAGAATACAATACCGATAAAATCAATCAGTTTATTCAATTCCTAACTAGGACAAACCAACAACGATTTTTACGGTACTTATTTTAAAGTGACGCCACATAATCAAAGGACATTATAATTGTTCTATGCGTATGTGAGTGTGAACTGAACTCCTTTTAAACGGCCGGACCGATTTTGATGTTGTTTTTTTGTGGTGTTCAAGTGCATTAGATAATGGTTTAGATTCACAATTCGGTTCACTACAAAATGTTTTTAGTTTAAGACGTGTGTACAAGACAGCGTCTGTCGGGACAGCTAGTTTATATACAATTGACTGCACGGTTGGCGTAGTGGTTTAAGCGGTCGCCATGCCGCTTCTTACTACGCTGAGTGTTGTGGGTTCGGTTGTGTCGGTTCCCCACATGGGACGACACTTTGTGCGATCCACAAATTGTTGTTTTGAGTCTGAGTGTTCTTTGTGTCCGTCTCATGTATGTTTGTAACGTCCCCCGCAACACAGGATACATTCATAATGAGGGAGTTGTCTTTAATAAAGAAAGAAAGAAGGAAAAAAATGTATATGTGTAGAAGTATTTAAGTATGTTTATCTGTCTGGTTATCATAGCACACAATTTTGGGATCAGACGGCCGTGTGTGATGTGTCAAAGTATTATATTATCATAATACCAAAGTCTAAACTAATATATTTGCTTCGTTTAGCTGTACATCAAAAGTTGTTATGAAAGATTGGAGTACAAACTTTCTACAGTTGTGTTTCTATTTACGAAAGTTAGACGTTTTTATTCTCGTATGTATTTACCAGGATACCCGATCAGGGCCTCAATTCTGCTATTACGCCA